GCAATAATTGAAGAAGATTAAATTTTAGTTGTATAATACAATCCCTTGGATCAACCGAAATAGACTTATAAATTCCGAATTTGTGTAGCATTGCATGAACAATTTTCGAGCCACGAATTAGTGGAACAAGTTAATCAAATCGAATAAGCTATAATAGCTTTCGTACTGTACTAGTTTAGGCTATCCAACCCCCCCTTGCCTTTCTAGTTAGTCTACATAGTCATGAAGCCAAATGTACCCTTTTATATAGCAGGTTATTTCCCGTCAACATTCTGCTCCCAAACAAAGATGCATGATTATCTACATATAACCCAATCTCCATGCCTAGGATTGGTTGACACAGTGATGGTCGATCAATCACATTCCCACCATTCGGACCTGGGCCTACCATTGGATCTCGCAGACTCCGTCTCCTCACGAAAGGTAGGATCAACTGCGCGACAACAAAGTTTAAGTATTTAGTATTTATTCAGAACTATCCTCCCTAACATTATGATATGTTCATGCAAGCTGATTTCGTGCTCTATCTCAGTACCGCCTCTTCAGGCTCCTGCAACGGTGTCTTAAATCATCGGACAGCCAGCGGAAGGGCTAGGCGTTCAGCTCCCCGAGGCCCACAAGACCTTAGAAACAAAATCTTAGCCCATACCAAGCCAGTTTTCCCAACCAGCCCTCCGTCGGGGTGACAGTCATCGCGCTACTCGCAACGTACCACTTCTCCGCACATGACACCCGCTGTGAGCATACAGTCTCGAAATCATAATTCCTCCAACGACCATGTAGGTAAATCAGAATCCAACCAACTGCACTTGATTCGCAGCAGCCAAAGGACTTGGCTCGTACCAAATTTAAGTCAACGTCGCGCCTTTGCTTCGACTCTAGAACTTATTCAGTGTGTTTACACTACGCGGAACACTGTCTTAGTTACCCAATCCCCACAATCCTCTCCTGGAAGTCACCCCAATACTTCTATAGATCAAAACTCAATTAATATAACTATAACGGAGCTGCGTACAACTTTCAAATTTACGGAGCCTCTATACTACTTTATATTTCCCTTTGATCTTACCAATAGGTATCAGATAATAACAGATACTTCGAAGATAATTTACAGCCAAGATGGATAGAAGTTTGTTTAACATTTACCTCATAAAGTCGACAAACCACATAATAGTGAAGCGATAGGATAAAATATTTAAAGGAAGGCATGACTTTATCAAAGTTGTCTGTTTTCATTAATTATATCCATCAATAAAGGAGTAAGCTAGAAAGGGATAAAGGTAAAATAGGAGAAATAAATAAGTGCCAAAGTAAAATATATCCTCTTTCATCTTTCCAAAGTCCAAACTAACCGAAGATCATCAATATCAATAGAAACCGAATCGCCGGATACTAGTTTCTGCAACTCTGGTGGTGAGAACATCGCAAGCCAATTTGGATTTAAAATAGAGTAAAAGCCTCGAATAAACGCTGAAGTTTGACTCCGAATTTGTTTGTACATACGGAAGTGGGCCACACGATGAACGTAGCTGATTCTGAATAAATGGTTTGATAAATAAAAGTAATGGTCACTATGATAAGACCATGAAGTATAAATGGAAATATAAAATCGAATCTATACATAAAAATATCAAATTTCAAGCCTTCTTCCAGTTTGAGTAAGGTAATTTTCTAAATCGATCTCATCTGAAAGCAATGGTCGATCCATTTTAATAAGCTGTATCTTCACACACCATGATAAAAAGACGAAGTGAACTAAACCATTTCAAATTAAAGATTCATCAAAAAATAAAGTGTGTTCATATAGAAATTTCACATCTGAATGTCAAGATATAAACCAGAAAGGTGAAAAAGCAATTCTAGAAGATCACAAAAAGTAACTCCTATATTCAAGAAACTGAAGAGATCAAATGAAATGCAACTTTTGATTATAAACTATCTTTAAATGCCTATATAAGAAAGGATAAGCAAACAATAAATATTAAATAAATAATCAAATGGACATCATACTTAAGGTCATTCGTAATTGTGATGTATCGACCACCAGGAGAGAGATCATGGACTACAGTCTGGCCAAGGCAATCTTCGTCGTAAGAGTAGGTTAGTTCGAGATCAGAAATGTCGCCAGTATGGTGCTAGAGGTAAATCGAAAGGCCAAATAATTCAAACAATGAAAATGGGAATTACATAAGTAGTGATTTTATCATAATATACCATTTATGAGTGGAGTTGTCACAAAATCTTTATGGTCAGAAAGTAACAATTCAACGTAGATGTTATGATCAAAGGACAGGAAAAGAATTTGAGCAAAGAATGTTCAGGAAAACGAACAACCACAAAATGGAATGAGTGTATTTAAGTAATAAACACTAAATGACGCCTTGGTCTGCATTAACATAACTAAATGTATTGTTTGTAAGGGTTAACATCCTTTCCACATTCTTATTAGTTCAACATTTATTAATCTTAGAGAAGCCTACGTGGCAAATAGGCAATGTATTTTAGTTTTATAAAGGCTTCAGGACTACCAGTAGATCATATATATGAAATGTATTCATTCTATTTCACCATGATTTTACACTCGCTAGTATTGATGAGACGTATGCGAGATCGCAACTTTAATTCATTCAAAATGGAACTAATTTATGGGAGGCAAACCTATGCAAAATGTAATGGAAACGTAAGGCATATTCCTATCGTGGGAAGATTAATTTACCAGTACTATTATCACCTTGAAAGAAATTGGGCGAATGCATAAAATATATAAGCAGTAGACGATTGGAATGGTAAATACAAGTTCGCCTTATTGTATTGCATTATATAAGAGGTCTGACCTGCCTTGAAATCCACATCTGCCCAGTGACCTTCTGGTATATATAACTGTGTAATGAAGTTGTAACGTGACGTACATAGGTTCATGATCTATTCTCAAATCCTATTAGGTATGCTGATGAGACTCAGGTATGGTAGAAACTGCAATCCGCTTAGGAGGTAAAACTAAGCGAAATTCAATTATATCTTTAGGAAAAATCCAATTTTAGTCTTAAATACACATTAAGTGATCTAGGGCGACTCAAGTTCTTATTTAACAGGTATGATAGCATCGAAATGAGCTAAACAAGAATAACTCGAAATATTCCGACAAATAAAAAGAAACATTAAAAATGAACCTTCTGTAATAAATAATACATAATATGAAGGTAGCCGTATTTAGAAGATATAAATACATATTGATGAGAATATAATCTAGCAGACAACTATAAGAGCCAACTACGAGGATCTTAGTAATACATCTTTATGCCTCTTTAATAAAAGTTAGGAAAAGAAATATAGTTCTAGGGAATGGATATAGAAAGAGAAAAACCTATACTTCGTCGAAAAGGTTCCCCATGATTTGGTAAACAGAAGTTATCAAGTGCTTTAAGCTCAGAGGGTACTATGAGCAGCAAATTCCAGGTATAAGGGTATAGCCTTCGTAATGGTCGCGGTATCCTTTTGTTATGTAAAAGTGGTTTGACATAGTTTTCGCAACTTGATCGCGTTGCTATAGACCTAAATGAATGTACCTTGCCAGGATTCTTCACCGTAATATCCATGATAATTTTCAATATCATATCGCTGACTTGGGATATTTCCAGATGTTTCGCCGGCATCGTCAGTAAGCCTTGTCCTTATTAACATCAAGCTACAACTTGTCTCATTGAAGAGTTGTCGTTTGGTGTCAAGAATAGGAAGGCTCACCGAGAATGTCGGCGAAACCTTCGGAAATATACCAAGTTCAGCTCTATACATTTTCATAGATACTAAGAGAAAGGACTCCAGACAAAGTGCGTTGACTTAGATCCCTCTGGCAATACAACCAAGTTGCGAAAACGAGTTCAAGCCACCTCTAGACAAATTATAAGAGTTGTAAGTCAAATTTAGACGACACGAGATAAAGCAAAATGGCCCTTCAGTGCAAGTCTTTTTTTTTATGAAAGTAAAATATTTGTGGCCCATTCCATATGTTATCAGAGCTATAGAATTTTAGAGTGCGCTCTGAAGATAAGAGAAGACGGTGGTAGGTGACAGATACAATTCTTTAAGATGGTTAATGGACCATGGAACCAAGTGATTAGACAGAGCGAAAACATTATTTAGTTATGTGAGAATTTATCAAGCAAAAATTATTTAGTTAGTTTGAGTAAACGAGAATTGGCTTGCCTTGATGAAACTGAGGCTCTTGTAGAGCTCTCTATCGAGTGTAGCCAACTCATCAAGGAAGCTGTAGCACCCGGCCCGCTCCCGACCGAGTAGTTGGGTCAGAAAAAAATTTGCGAATGGGACGTCAACCATTATACCCTGTTAAGTTGGAGCAAGTAAAGTGTAAAAATAATAAAAAAGGTGTAAATCGAAGGAAATTATATTGACACATATTAAATTATTGTAATCACTTCGAAGTTTAATAAAATAATGGAGAAATACCTAATGCTTAATTCTACGGAGCGCCACTTATCTGAGTGATAAAACATGGACTGATAAACTGAGCGACCAGTGCTTATGGAGTAACCAAGTAACTAATCGAGATAGAGAAGCAAAGATGTGAACATAAATACCGGTCTCTTCCAGTCTAATAAAAAACAATCTTATCCGCCTATGTTTACGAACGACTACCACAGACCCATTTTTAACGTAATTTAGAACTGGATGAGAATAACCTATAACGATCAATCAGCTGCAGTTGCAGGCTGATTTGGTGAGTCAGCAAAATTCAAAATCGGCTTACAGTTGGACGGATATAAAAGTAAAGAATGTGATGTTGTGCGATCCATGTATACCTCATAAATAGCCTTGGCTAGCATCTTTCCTAGAAATTCGAATAACTGCAAATGGCTTTCTTGAAGATGGGAGGTTGGTGACGGGTAAAGGCGCTGGTCCGAAGTTACTCGGAAGAGGTTGAGGCTTGGGTCAAAGACGCGACGAAGGGTCTCCTCCAGAAATTCTTTAAAGACGCCATCTAGATCAATGCCGACTTCATCTAGGCCCTAGATGGAAAAAGAAAATGAGTGAATAATTTAACGAAAGAGATGCTACAGAAATAAAGAATAAGTGAATAAAATTTTTAATTAATCTAGGCCATTTAAAGTTTTAAAGGAGTGATAGCGAATTTTACAACAAAAAGATGAATTGGCAAAAGGATGTCAGTGAACTTCACATAGCTTTGCTTCTAAAAAGGAATTCGTATCCACGGTCGACTGCAGTTTTAATCTAGCTTAGGTCTCACTAGGATTCCCATAAAAAATCAATACTGGTTTGTTAGCATAGTAAGGGTGTTACCCCCCTACAAGGCTACGGGTATCAGGAAACAGGACAGATGCGAAATTCAAGGCAAGCCAGGTCTCTCTCAGCTCACATTTACAGTATCGTGGATTAAGCAAAAATGTGCTTATCAATACACTGGAAGACGTTACTTATTTTTGATAGTAGTTGATGAGTATATTGGTAATACTTAAGTAAGAGCTTAGTCTCCCTAGATCGGCCAAGCTGATTAAAGGACTGATAGAAAGAATCTTTTTGGGATATAATGTCGCAAGAATAAACTGTGAAAGAGTTCAAGCCATTCTATATTTAAATTATGAAATGAAATTAGAGTCCGAAAAATATTTGGCGGAATGCATCCGAGAATAAGCTTGCTTAACATTTTGCATTTATTCAAGTAGAGCAGTAGTCAAGGAAGAACAGCATAAATAATAAGCCCGTTGTGAAGTCACGTCTAATATATGGCAGATTTTTTGTTAGGTCTTATTATATTGAAGATATTCGAGCAAATTGAGACCTTTACAGATGGTTAAAGTGTAACTAGGCTTAAAAAACAATTATTAAACAAGAGGATAAATCTCTTCAAGAAAAGCCTTATTTAAGGCAATAATAAAATGCAGTATGTTAGCGACTATCCAGTAGAAAGATGCAGTTAAGTCGGATCTTCCCACGACATGAAAATCGAATACTTAGTATAGTATGCAAGTCTAAGAAAATGAGGAAGAATCGAATGTGCATACTAATTGCTGTATCAACTCACCATAGCATTGATAAACTGTACACGAATTTTCATTCTCAATTGAGTCGGTGTAAGACTTGCTAATTGCTGGTATCCATCCTGAGAAATAAATAGAAAAAAAAACAAGGACGATAAATCACTCTATTCCAATAATTGATAACAAAGAAACTAGAAAACTCAGTTGCAAGCATCTTTTTGGCAATATGTTTCATAATATTCACCATCTAAAAACCATAAAAAATTATGTAAGACTATAAAACAAGCCTTTTTAATCACTAAAAATCCTAGACTAATAATTAAACTATAAAACCTTGTAGCCTCAAAACGCCCTTCAAAAAGAAATCGTAGTATATTTTTAGCAGATGCGTCAGTTTTATATACTAACCTAGAAAGACGATTAGTTATCTAAGATAGATATGGAGATCAGGAAAAGAAATAAAGATACGAATATTTGACAGAACATAGTACATTAAAGATTTATAGATATAAGTCATACTACATCGATAAGAAGCATAAGATACTCTTCATATACTGAAAAGAAAAACAAACAGATTGGATAGCAATTCATGA